TTTATTTAACGTACTCGGTGATAATCTTTTATATTTGGAACGTTTTCATGAAAACTTCCATTCATCAAGTAATGGAAAACATTAAATTAGAACAAACTAACGAGAAAAAAAAAGTGCTTTATTTTTTGCGATATTCGCCAAAAATATTTTTCATGAATAAAATTTCTTTCACAATAAAAAGAATTCACTCATCAATTATAATAATCTCTACATATAATAAAAGAAAAAGTCTGAATGTCTTTTTGTTCGTGCTGCACGTAAGCTAATAGACCTAGAGCTACGAAATTTGATATATAGGTGCATCTAGACAAAAGCCAGTGCACCTCGAAGGGATTTTTTAAAAATTCGAATCAGATTTCTTTTTGTTTAATTTTTTTCTCGATTTTATCGCATCATTTTGAATAGTTTCATTCTTTTAAAAATGTGGTTTTGGTAACAGTTTTTCATTCAATTGTATACTGGACTGCTGACTGTTGAAAATCAGCACTGTTGCCACTTGGAAAAATGAAGGCGATAATTCTGTGCAGTTTTTAAGTTTAATGTTTCTCTTGGATACTGGACGTGTGTTGAGAGATGTTTCTCTTGGATACTCGACGTTTGTTGAGAGAAGGCAACGGGAAGTTAGTTAATTTATAATTTATTTATTAGGATAATTAATATTTGTATTAAGGGATACTGCTTATTTCATTGTAATTTTGCTATATGTAATACATTTTTTTTAATTTTTTTTTTTTTTTAGTCTAAAACGGACTATTGTTTTCGTTTTGCGATTTTGCGTCGAATCACTATAAACGGAGTATCACTTTTCAAATTGTTGCCACCAAATGTTAGTTAGAGTCCTGCATCATATTTGAAGAAATTAAATAATGAAGAATCTGCATAAAATGTTTCTCGCATTGTGATAAAACAACAAACAGTACCTAGAGCCATCCAATTTTGAATGACGCAATCCTACTGCGAATATGGGCATCTGAAAGTCCAAATTTGAAATTTGGAATTTGTTTTATTATCGATTTCATATTTTGTAAAACTTTAACGAATTTTCAGTAACAAACATAAACGATTTAAAAGCGAGCAATGGCAACACTATAACCATAGAGGTAGGAAGTAAGATGGAGTCGCCCTAAACGAGTTTCTCCGTACCCTGCTCTGAAGCACCGGCGATCCCTACGTGGTGACCAAAACACTGGGTCATTTACCATTGAGCAATGACATTGGTTTTGACGCGATCGGATGTAAATATTTTGTAATTACGTCGCAAATATACATATAAATGTATATATTTTCTTTTTCTACAACACTTCAGAGTCCTAAGTATGTGAAAACAACATATTTTTAAACAACATTTCATTCTGAACGGAATTAAATGCTATACTTTTCACAGGACAGTTTTCTCAGAGTGGTTTAATTTGAATGAAATATTTTCACAAGTTTTCGTTAGTTACATTAGAAAAAAAAATTAAGGTAATTCGATTTTATTCGGTTAAGGTACAAAAATTAAGATCAAAGTTTATTGTATTATTAATATTAAAATTATGCATTATTTCTTTTCTATTTATAGAGCTTCTTCCTAAAATACTTAAATATGACATGATTTTTTGGCTTCTTTTAAATCGAAAAATGTAAGTCAATTTATAATTAATGCTCTATTCGGTTCATTTTAAATTAGAGAATTATTAGGAATTAGCGAAATACTTTAAATAAGTATTTCGCTAATTCCTAATAATTAAATAGGTATTAAATAGTATTTGACTTTCTCTGAACATTTCTGAAAGGGAATAAAATAATTTTTTTTTTTTTTTTTTTAAGTATTATTTAAAACTTGTAACTGAGTTATTATAAAATGTAAAGGGAATAATTCTTTTAATTATACTTATCAGATTTTTTTTTACCCTTCATTTCAACAATACATATTCCAAAACTCTTTATTACGTTCTTAAGTGCGCATCTCATAGCATTTGCTTTACAATACCTTTTAACAGATTGCTTTCCAATACGAACAATTCTTGCTTAAATAGTTTTATAACGTATTTGTCAACAGGATTTCAATTTATGTTTACAATTCAATATTAAGGTTATTATATATTTAGATAACATTTATAATCATTATAAATTAGATACATTTAATCATTAGATTTCTTCACAGTACTTTCACAGTTGTTTATAAGTGAATAAATTCTTCATTTCAAATACATTTATAAATAATTTAATGAATATTTAAGTATTTTGTCAAAGGCAGATACATGCTTTTTGCAAGCACATGCATAAATACCCATACATATTTCCTATTTATCATTTCCGGCATGTGCAAATCTTTAAAACTAATTTACACTAATTTAGCATACACCCGAAAGTTTTACATAAAAAATATATATGAATATAATTTGAATGAAAATTATAAGTATTATTTTTAATACCCACTCAAAGGTCAGTTTTTCTTCAAAATTCCTCCACGATGGCATCTCTCTCTTTAGCCCTGGCATGCGTTACTCTATTTAATAAAAACTTAATCTGACCTATGTGCCTAATTACAAATATTTTAACATGCATAATTTTATATTTAAATTTAGCCATCAAGTTTCAAACTTTTCAAATCTTCTAGAAAATAAATTTTGGCAGATCTCTTTTAGCAATTTTCTTAAAATCTATATTTTTGTAGTGCAACAGCTTAGAATTTTATAAAACAAATTCATAATCAAAATCGCTGTTGTTAGTTATCGAAAAATAACCAAGATGTGATTTTTGCGTAAATGTCAGTAAACTATACAAATTGCTGTTATCCATTACACTATGAATGTTTCTTTCATGCGAGAGTGTCCCTTTTTCGATTTCTATGGAACTGTCGTGTGTCGAAATACTATCAGAATCTTGTCAAGCGAGCTTCTGAATGTAAACAAAGAACACCCCGTCTGGTGACCCAAGTTTCAAAGCAGTGCTTCACTTCTAGCGCGGAATGGCCCCTCCTCCCTTTCCTACCTCCATGCTATAACGGGGGGGGGGAACCTTTTTATCTCCGGCGTGCGGAACTGTGTATCGGAAATTCTAAAGATATGCTCATTTTAAAATTATTTTGCGACATTCCTATTGAACTGAATTTTATGGTGTAAGTGCAAAGAACATGATATTTAATAAATAAAGGTAACAGACAAAACGCTAAAAAAATGCCCCTTTGGACGTAGTTTAAAATGGAAACCTTTCAGTTTTTTTTTTTTTTTTTTTTTTTTTTTTTATGAAGTTGTTTTAGAGAGTAAAATTCTGCGCAGTTTTTAAATTTAACGTTTGGTGTTCCCTTAAGGCATTTTTCAGGTACATTTAAAAGCCAGACGAAGGCTGGCCGCGTAGCTGCTAGTAATAAATAAATAAATTCGTGGTGGTCGGATTTGAACTGAGGGTAATGAAAACTCGAAAATACGATACCGTGAGGACGCGGTGCTTGCGACTAAAAGAATTTACAAGCTTAAGAAGCCGCTTAAAATTTGAACGTCATTTTCTTTGCTTACATTTAAGAGGTGTGTACTCTTTCTTCCTACACACATACTGTTGTTGATATATGCAATATAATTATGAAGGATTTGAACGAAAACACAGAAATAAAAAAGGTCGTTCATTCTTCTTGTAAATTCCAGTTTAAGACATCACAGATTTGCTCAGCAATCTTCAGTAATGTCCAAAAGAATGTAAACAAGGTTTATAAAAAAGAAATATAACAAAATTTCTCTATCGTAGGAAGATCGAAAATCTATCTGAATTTTAATACAGGGTGGCGCAGGGAAACGGGAAATTTCGAAATAACGTCATTTCCACGAATAAATTCATAAAACTAGTAATTTATTAACGAAAGTGCATGTATTCAGCATGCCATTTATGCTTTTACAATCAAAATGTCCAAAAGTGTCTCTTTACTTTTTAAAGATGACATCGGAAAGATGTGCTTCCATTCGCGTTCACACTCTAACAGCCTGTTATGAAAACTCTGGAATGCGCGGTGTAGCAAATCTTGGAGAATGGCAGTGATTTCTTTTTCAATGTTCTCCTTCAGTTCTCGGATTGTTGCAGGACGTGTACGGTACACCTTGCCTTTAAGATATCCCCACAGGAAGAAGTTGCACATACTAAGATCAGGGGATCTCGCAGGCCATCAATGTCCCCATTGCGCGAAATAATGCGTCTTCCAAACAATTGACGAACTGCTGCCATCAATTGTCGAGCAGTGTGAGACGTGGTCCCGTCCTGCTGAAACCACATGTTTTCGATGTTAAGATTAAGCTCGTACAGTCTCGGTGTAAAGAATGTTTGAACCGTTGGAATGCCATCTGGAGGTTTCTTTTTCAAGGTAGATCCTGTTTCTTCAAAATTACGCACCCACGTTGTAATCGCATGCGCAGATGGGACACGTCCATGACGTCCAAGCTGGTAATGCTGTCAAAATCTCTGCGCGGCAGTCGCACTATCGCCATTTTTATAAAACGCTCTCACAGCTTCTGCACGTTCCGCACCAGTCCAATGATCCATGATTACTAAATGGCAATGCGCTCACAACAATTGTGCAAAGTTTCGAACAGCTGCCGGCTCTACAGTGCTGCGAATTGTAAAGTTCAAAATTTCCCGTTTCCCTGCGCCACCCTATATTTTAATTTAACTCTATCATACATGACAGACTGTACGTTGCGCCTTTGAAACTTCTGAAAAGTACTTAACGTGTGAATTTTACAGTAAAAAAAAAAAAAAAGTTCATTATTGATTATCATTGCTATCTAGTTATTCCTGCATATCTGTACGTAGAGAATTAGTACGAATATATCTGTACGTAGAGAATTAGTAACTCTTTCTACCTGGAAATATAAAACTAGGTCCGATAATAAACTGCACATTGAAATAATAACAAAAATTAGAAATAAAAATTAAATATAAAAAATTTAAGAGTTATGTTTAGTAATTACTTAGTCTATTGTTGTATTGCTAGTTGAAAAGACTATGTATGTAAAAGCAGCAGAGCATACCTTCCATTACATGTAATGTCTAAATCCAATAGCTGTCCATGTTGAAGGTAAGTATTCCCAGATATATTAAAGTTGGTAAATGGATCTACCGAAAAAAAGTAAATGGTTGTTTAATTATATTGTCATAGTGAACATAAAAATGTTAAATTGTTACTTTAATGCCATTTAATTAAATCTCTAAATTAACTGCAGTTTTACAATAAACGGTATAATGGCATATAAAAACGATATCAAGACATTTTCTGTAAATAAAAAATTCAATTTGTGCGTATACCCCACACAACACTGAAATTTTGGAAATGAATTATTTTCTCAAACAGTTTAAAAAAGTGGTTTTTACGGGGTTTTCAAAATGTGTTCCATGCAACTTCTTTAGGGATTCTGCATGTTGCCATGGAAGATAAATGTCTCAAATAATTAATTTAAAATGCATTTAAAAAAGTTTTTGTTGTTATTATAATTTAAAATTATATGCAGAAGATTAGATTTTATATGTGAAAGTAGAATAATGATTTTCAGCTTTCACATAAAGTGTGCACAATATTAGTATATTTTTAATAACATTTTTTTAACATTTACTTTCTACTTTCTTAAAGATTACAAGCTGTCCAAAAATTATTAATTTTATGGGTTTTCTGAAGGCACAAAGTAGTTTTAGAAGTTCCTGTGTCGACGAAGTTTAAAGATTCCCCCCCCCCGTTTTAAATTAAGTTTAAGGAAGATTTTGACATTTTACGAAACGACAACCCAAATGCGAAAAATATGCAATTCTTTTTTTAAATTATTCATGCATATTCGCATCGAACTTTTGCCATGATATATGTTATACGGATATATGTTTCTCACATTGTGAAAAAAAAAGTACCTAGAGCAGTCAAATTTTGAATAACATAGTCATCCACCCGAATATGGGCACCGGGATAAAGAATTTATCATTAAAAAATTTAACGATTTCAAAACGAGCAGGGCCGGAATAAAATATTTTTATTTCCAACGCGCGAGACTGTCTATTGGAAATTCTAAAGATATGTTGTTTTGTTGTTTTTTAATATTTTTAATCCGAAGGGGCGTTAGCGCAAATGCTCTCGAAACTTGTATGTGTGTTTGAATGAAACAAAAAACGCCCCTTTGAGAGTAATATAAAATCTTAAAGCTTCAGAGTTTTTACTTTTTTCGCTTACTTTTTTGTTTTGTTTGTTTGCTTGTTCCTCGTTTCTTGGCTGTAAGATTATACAGTCACCTGTGCTTCAAAATGTTAGCAGGTGTGGTACCTTTTTATTAATAAGTACATAAAAATGCTTTTCGATGACATTTATACTCTATAAAATATTTTGTGTGGATTCATGTTAAAGCTTTATATCCTCCCCTTCTATCTACCGATCTTTTCGATTCGAAAAGCATTTTTATATGTAAAGCATTGTTTTATTTTAGCACTGCGTTCCATGAAAAAAATTTTATTCAACATTCAAATAATTGTGAAAAAAGATCATGCACTTATCCCACGAAAAGTAAGATTAGTTCTTGACTTCTGAATTAAAAGTATTTTGCAATAATAACTGAAAAATCTTCATCTTTTATGCTTCCAAAATTCAATTTGAAGAATAATTAATTAGCATAGTTGTACTTACGTATTTTCCCGTTAACCATAAAAGTTGATTTCCGCCGACCGTCAAAGCTGACGGAGATTTTGCCAAACTTGCGCCAATCCTTCCGGCGGAATTTTGACGGAACAGAGGGCTGTTTATTTAATTAGATGATCACAGATCACTCTTTGTTTAGTTATCTAATCGGCAGATACAAATTACTGATTCAACATATAACAGAACGTAAATAAATATGATGAGCTTCAGCTTTCTAATTTTCTGGCAAACAAATTCATTAAAACTTGCTCCAGTTATTCCTGCTGCTAAAATCTGTAAATAGCATTTAAAACAACTATAGAATAATAATTTTTTTTTTTTTTTGAACCCAGTGCCACGTAAATTTGCTTAAATACGAATTAAAGTTATGTCATGCTGTTGTTTATTGCGCCATTTTGTCGAATCCCATCATTTTTCCATTTTTTAAGTATGGGCATTTCGATGTTTCGAAAATGACTGCAGGATTTTGATTGTAGAAGGCAGGGCTTAAATTTTAAACATTTTCTCAAAATACAACAGAAAAACAGAGAAATAACAGTTAACTAATACCCTTCTTCCACAAAACAAAACTAGCTTATTAAAAACTAATCGGGTTACATAAAGCAAAGCGAATATCTTATGTGGGTGTTATAATGTCACGCTTATTCATTATTCGCTCTAAATTGCACTGCTTGGCCAGCTTTTGTTTTCCGAAATGATAGACGGTAAAATGTTTAAGTACCAAAATAGTTATTGATCTTGCATTAAATCATTCATATAATGTTTACAGGAAAATGCTTGCAAGAAACATAGGATTATGAAAATCATTATATTGCAATGCAACAAAAAGACAATGAAATGAAAAAATAATTCACTTTGATTCTAACGTTATTGTTACCTTTTGCTATTAATTCTCCATCAAAATATCCCCATTTAAAATGAGAGCTGTTTGTGCCGTCATAAGATGGGACGCGAGCAACTACTGCACCTCTTATTAATTGAGTGCCAGTCTCATTAAATACATGGATTTTGTAAGGTACAGTTGTGGTGAATCTTGTTTCTTCGATGCTCCAAGAATATGAAAATTCACTGTCTTTTAAAACTCTTGTAGGATATTGCACTTCAAGGCTTATGTTCGTCCTTTCCCCAGTAGTAACAATAAGATGGTTATTTCGGTTTATCACGGCACTAGAGAAATGTAGTGATCCAGGTATATATTCTAAAAGTTAGAAATAAAACAGATTATTTAAATGTAATTTTATACATCGTCAAATGTATAGCACATGTTTTACAAAAGATTGCATGATTAAATATCTTTTGAAGAATTAACTGGCGACGGATGATTCCAGTTTAAAAAGGTAATCAGATAAGTTAAAATTTCTGATTGTCATAAATTTATTCACTTAACACATTTTATTAAAAATATAGGGAAATCAAATTTTTATATGGGCCTTCGAAGAAATCTCTAGTTAGTGAGTCCTTCCATATCACAGATTTTTTTCTGGGGGGGAGGCAATCTATAATACTGTCAGTATTCAGCTGTCTTTACCACTCGTCAACTGGTGAGATCTCTAGTGAAATAAAATATATTTAGAAATCACCTGGCAGAATCTCTTAAATTTATAACTACAGAATCTCTTAAATTTATAACTACAGAATCTCATAAATACTTAAATTGTATTTTAATGAAGCTATCAGATTATGGAAAAGCATTTGGGGTCTATTTCCCTCAGAAAGATGATTTCGCAGATTTTCTAAGATCTGAACCATGGATGATATTCATGTTATTCATGGGTAAAATCAAGAAATCTCCCCTGCACCTAGCCCATTCGCCAGGATTTGAATCATCGAACTACTCGTGTTCCGATATTTTCCCTCTCGGCCACTAGTGGACTCAGTTCATTTTTGAATTTAGGGATTTCAGAATAGATTTAGCCTGGCATTGTGGCTCATAGCATTGTGTCTCATAGCATTGTGTCTCATAGGTGGGTAAATTAAATTATTTCTCATTAATCTGTGTTACTAATACCACTACAAACAGTACTGATTTCTAGAATCAAAATATAATATAAAATGTTTGATTCGCAACCATCCTAGCCTACAGCTCATGCAGCAAAGATTTTGAAGTGCAATGAAGGAGATACTTCAAAACTGCTAAAATATTCTTCGCTAAATCAAATGTCTGGATTTCTAAATACAGTTAAGGTATCATTAACAAGAAAAGTTCTGATAGGAAAAAAAAACCTCGAGAGAACACTTAAAGAGCTTCTGCGCTCATTTATATATTTAAATTTTCAATAAAAATATAAAAATTTCTCTTAATTGCCACTGGCTAATTTCGCAACAGAAATGAAATCTATTAATACGCTAATTTAAAGTAAAAGTAAATTAATTAAGTATAAATAAATAAATAATTTTAAAATCAAATTTTACCTTTTATTATCTTAGCTGCTTAATCATTGTATACGTAAGTAAATTATGAAATATTTACACAAGCACTTCTAGATTTTAGAATGTCTTGGGCCCTATGATTAGCTCGAATGCTTGATAAGGTACGGACGTATGTAACTGTAGAACACAGAATAAGGGTATTTAAAATTTGCCGATTTTAAAGTTCTTTCAAGATGATGAGGGTGTCAGCAGAAAGTATATAACCAAGGTCAAAAATTTGAACGGGGTTTTAGCAGAAAGCACATATCAGCTCTACCTTAAATAAATAATCTGTACTTCTTTGTTTCAGGAAGAGAATTTAAAAAAATATTTTATGCATGTAAATACCAATGTAATGCATATGAATACCAATTACGCTTTAATTTCATAATTACTTGCAGTGCATACATGAAACTGAGTATATTGCAAAGTTGTGTAAAATTATCTGGACATGTTTACAAATATACCATGACAATAATTACCATGACAATGTGCATCAATTATTACAACATAGCACAAGAGCAATAATTTCGCCGTTTTCTAAACAACATGCATCTGTGAGAAAATATCAGACACCCTTAGTTCAAAACTTGTAAAGTCCCATATTTTTTTCTTTTTTATTTCAAAAGGATTAAATTAACAAATTAAATTTCTTAATCAAGAATCCGAAAGCAGTAATTTCTTTAACGCAAAAGTTTCTTTCTTAATTTTTTTAAAAATTTAACTATGTAAAAGAGAAATTCTGAATATGACTTTTTTCACTTATAAAAAATTTAAAGTTTCCAAAGTGAAGACAAATAATGCTTAAAAAAATAAAAGCTAAAAAAAAATAAATAAAAATATAAAATATAATATATTTTTTAATTATATAATATATAATTTAAAAAATATATATGCTTAAAATATATAAAAGATGAATCAGTTTCTTTTTGCTAATCTGAAACGGAGAAATAAATGCCCAAAACTTAAAGGTGAAGATCACAAAGTTACCTTCAGAGATTCCAACGAATCAACTCCCTTCGACTGAAAATTTTCCATTTGAAAAATAATGTTGCCATTAGTGGGAAAATATGAAAGCAAATTTTCTTTCAATATAAATACCGATAATAAAACTTACCAAAAACGTTAAAAAAAGTATTTCCTGCCGCTACTCTTTTTGGAGATGGAGATAATTGAAATACTAATACAGTCACCATTCGAGTCCCTGGATCATCTGTAAAAATGAATACAGCTTCTGCGCTGCCCTGCCCAGGAATCTGGACAGTTCGCTGAATGTCATCTTCGAATATATAGAAGTATTCATCTTCATTCGACGCGCAATCTAATTTCGCTGATATAGTAACAGGTACATCTAGAGTAACGGGACCATCGTTTTCAACATGCAAAACATAATGGCAAATACCTGAAAAGAAATGTTTTGACTTTTTATAACTGCTAGCTATACCGAAGAAGAAAACGTACAGTTTTCCGGAACTTAGCTACATTAGATACCAAAAACATCAGATGGATTTCCTAAATTAATAGCAGCAACCCCATTAATACAGTAGAAATTTTGCCTTTAACGTTTCCTTTTGTGAGTCAGGAATATTGCAAACATTTTTGAGTTATAGAGATTTCAATTGCTTTTGCTACGTCACACTATAAATAGACTTTATTATTATTATTATTAAGCCTCATTTTCTTCGCACTTACTCAATATACAATTCTAAAAGCAGCATAGGAGTATACGCTTAGAATTCCCGATGCAACGTTAAGTGTTGGCATATATTTTTATGTTTTTTCAGTATTTTCTCAATTCATTATATCAGTGTTCAGTTTTCTATGATGGCTTTACAAAATTCTTTTTTTAGTCTTTTTAATTCTTTAGGTTTTGTGTGTTTATTTTATTTATCCCGTCGCATAAAATTCAATTCAACGGCAAAATCAAGATATTTAAAAGCAGCATATCTTTAGAATTAGTGACAGACAGCCTCGAGCGCTGGGGATAAAAATGTCTTTTTTTCTGTACAATGTTGCCACTGCTCGCTTTGAAATCATTAAATTTGTTAATCAAAAATTCTCTAAAATTTTCTAAAATATGAAATAGGTAATAAAACAAATTCGAAATTCAAAATTCGCACTTTTAGATGTGCATGCTCTTGTCGAGGACTACGTTATTCAAAATTTGATGTCTCTAGGTACCGTTGTTTTTTCACAATGCGAGAAGCATACATACATTCATTCAGATTCTTTATTATTTAACTTTTTTTTTCAATGGCAGATTGTGAACAATTACAAATGCAATCCAGTTCATTAATCTATACAAAGCCGGATGTGGTGGTCTCTTTATTATGGAGGAACCTTATAGGTGGGCCCCATCGCTTTTCCTATTAAAGAATGGACAGTTACACAACCATGCCTTCTTCGGGATTCGAACCCAGGCCCTTCGGCATCGCAATCAGCTTCCCTGACCACTATACCGACTTCATTATTTAATTCCTTTAAATAAAATACAGGGTGATAATTTGGCAAAAATTTGAAAAGTGATATGCTGTTTATAGTGATTCAAGCCATTTCGAAATTAATATCCCATTTGGGACTAACGTCTCTTTTGGGCTAATAATTAGAAATCGAATTCTAACGGAATCCGCTATTTATTAGGAAACAGAAATCGGACAACTCGGCTTGCCAGATCAACTCTCTAAACATACTGCTGGGATACGAAAATTAGAATAAAGATTAAAATAAAAAATAGTACGTTTCATTAATACTTCTAAACAAGATTGTACAACTTTTCTGGATTTCTTTTCCAGCGAGAAGCTGTAAAATCTTTTCATTTGTATTTTTAAATCAGACGTGCATGTGACAATCCGAATCTGCATAAAGTTCCCACAGAATCTTTACAGAAATTTCTTTATCTTAAATTTTGCAAGCATAAGTATGAAACATTCTTGCGCTTATTAATATCACCACCATTTTCTATATCTCTTCGTCGTTTAGTTGACATACAGGAGCTGTAATACGGGTAAATGTAAAATGTTGACAAATTTATAAATACCGATAAATAGAATGTTTCATTTTAAAAATGAGTGCTGCTAGTAGCTCACTGACAGACCCTGCGGTAGGGTACGAACTGTGCCAAATTTGATCGAAAATCCCCGTCCCCTTCTTTTCTAATCCACGAACTGCGCGACGTTTCCTGTCCCCCCATTTCTTTCCAAGAAGATTGGGTGCTACAAAAAGTCGTTTATCGCCATTAATGGGACATTCTATTGAGACTGCAAGCCTTTATTTTAGTTTATCAATATTGTAAAAATTGTGCATGTAAAACAAATATTAATTTAAAGTCTGGCGTGTGCTAAAAAATAAATTTCTTTTACACTCATTTTAAAGTTTTATGATGCTTAAAGGAATGATGAGCCAGATCTTTTTTATTCGCTGTAAGAATTATTAATGACATACACTAAAACTGATACATAATCAACGTATCAAATATCGGATTTGTAGCTCACCTTAACTAAGTTTCTTGCCTAGATAAATATTAACAAATCTTCTTAGATAGCAGAATGGTTTTAACTTTCAAATTTACCATTTTATGTAAACCGTTCTAATTTAATTATAAAAATTATCTTTATTAAATCTAAAAATTGGACTTCTTAAGTTGTTCTAAATTCACACTAATATTATTGCAATATATTCCCGTATTAAGCTTTCTTTTTTTAATCATTGAAGTTATTTTAAAGTTATTTAACTTTGTTACAAATTCCATATTTTAATACTAGAAACTGCCACTGCTCATTAAATATTTATTCTGTTTTCCACCTGATGTACTTTGGCATACATTTAATTTCTAATACACATTTAATTAATAAATTAATAATTATGAGCGTCAGCAGAATTTTCATAATTAACAAAAAAAATTAATAAATAAAAAATTAAAAAAAAAATAATAAATAAACTCCCTTATATTCATATCCTGGGATTTTCAGTTCCCTTTTAATCCATTCCTTTTTCACATGTTGTTGCACTATACTCAAGTTTTCATGTATGTAGAATTTGTATACTTTGTATTGTATTTATGCCAATTTATATTTAAATGATAATTTTTACAAATTCTTGCATCACAACTCTAGTTAACAGAAGATGTTTCTAACACCTTGGCAAAGCTTATTTTCCAACCTAGTTTCAGGCTGAATTATTTGTAAAATTAATTACTTGAAATTATTTGTTAACAAAGATGGTCGCTAAATCACGCTAATAATATTTCTAACTGTTGTAATTTATAATGCAACGAGTTCATATGATTTATAATATAATTCATTTATAATTTTTTCAGCAGTATTGAAATTAATAGCAGATACTGATAATGATATATATTTAGATTACAATGATTTAGATTGCCATTGCCTTCTTCACTCATGCTTTTATGCTACATTCCTAATATTTCATAATGGCATACAGGTAAGTTTAACTCATTCACCAAACATGTAAATCTCTAATTCAGCCCACATTTGTTCTTACGTGTGCTGTATCTTCTACTTTCTTTAATATATTGTTCAGCCTAATTTCAAAAGGTCTTGTGGAAAAGTCACTAAACATTGGTAGTTCGACCCGAGTTTCTAATCCCAGTGATCCCCCAGCTCTTTCTTTTTTTGAACTTATTTACTGTATAAAAATGTAGCGTAAAAATTTCAGTTCATGAAGTAAAAATACATTTTTAATTTATTCTTTAAAAATATTACAAAAATTTTCACCTTTACCTTAGCATATCTTTTTAGAAATCCCTCTAATAAGAAAAAATAAGAAAAGAAATTAACTCAATTTCGGTGATTGATACCTCGGTGCAAATTGTATGTAACATTTTCCCAAAAGCATAGAGTTTATATGGATATCAATAAATTAAGGATTATTTCTCCATCTAATTTTCTTAACATGTTTATTCCAGAATTTTCTTTTCACAGTGTAGCGCTTAACTTTATGAGTTTTCTATAATCATTCAATTTCTCTAGCCATGGCAACTTTGCATACCTTCTGACAAGTAATTATATTTTTAACCACTGTATTTTAATTCCTGTTGACTATCAGTACATTATTCACTTGTTTCACAAGTGCAACTTTTATTTTCTACGCAAATCTACGTAAAATAGCATTAAAACTTCAGTTATGCGGAGCTCTTGATCGATTGCTTGTTTTAGATTGAATGAAATTAAGCTTAATGTTACTGTTAATTAGCTTGTTATTAATTTAATTGTATGTTTCTAACTAATTATATGTTCAGATATTTCCAAGTATATTACACAAACTTTTGCATCCTAATTTTTAGTTTTTGGTTAAAAAAATAAGCTTTTATTTATTGAGAGGCCTGATTGGTTATATTAATTTGCAGTACTGTTTATCTAATTCTTTTCTTCTAGATAAATTTTAGAAAAACTTCTTAGCATAATAATTTAAATTTATTTACAATTTATACGTCAGTGATCCAAACTCATAGTAATGTTGTTATAATAATGCTAAGACTTTTTTTAAATTTAACTATTAATTTCTGCAAACATTTACATGATTGCTTTAATTAACGAAAAATATTTCTAGCACACTTTAACACACTTTGATATGGAATAATTTTTTGCACTCTATTAAAATTTTCCAGTCTAGTTCAGACATCTTGACTATTATTGATGTAATTTATTAAAAATATAATTTGTATGCTTTATAATTATTTAATTTATGATATTATTATCATAAATGAAAGATGTTTGTAATGCTAATATGTATGTTTACCAATACCTTTTATTTTCTTTGTTAGCTCTCGCATTTATTACTGTTATTCAAGTAATTAGCCTGCTTGTTAGATATTTTTACTTGTTCTTGTGATATGTAATTCTATTTATTTTTATTTTCCTCTTGGCTTGGTTTCGAAAAGTTAAATTGTAACCCTGTAGGCAGCAGGGGGGAAGAAATTTTGATTGGCGCAGTTGGACTATAGCTCGACACGGGGGGGATTTTCATTAGCGCAGTTGGAGTACACCCGACCCTGCGATAGATTCGAACCATACCGTACCTTGAGAGCTGTGCCAGCGGCGTTTACTTATGTTGAAAAATCCCACAAACGATTTTTGGCGAGCGATTTTTTGAATAAAAAATGGATTAATATTTGCATACATTTTACGCCACTCGTGACATTTTAACTTTTTTTTCTTATCCCCCTGAACAGTTTTCCAATAGTATTAATTGAAATAAAAATCGTTTTTTAGTAAAGCTGCTCAGCTCGAATCCATGTTGTTCAAAGTCAATTATATTTTGAAGCAAACAAATTAATTTTGTTTATGCACATTAGAAAATAACTGACAAAAAACTTAGATAGAATAGGCACGGTGGATTCTCGCAATGTTCGAAAATTTCATCATTTTTCAGACAAACTGGAAAAAAGTTTGCTGTTGACAAAAAATAAATAAACATCAAGTAGCTTACACGTTCTTAATAAAGTTAATTATAAAGCCATAAAAATATCATAAAAAGTAATGAACCTACCTGAATCACTGGCCGGTTTTTGAGATAGTACAATGGGGAAGAAAAGAAATACGGACGTGAAGAAAATCACAAGCATAGCTATATGATTCTTCCATCTCTGCACCTGCTGTTTATCCAGCTGTTGCGCAACTCAATGTAACGTCACTGTGCGGGTAACTTCTAGGTATTCTATCCCCATTATTTGAAAACACTGAGAAAATATTTCAAATATGCACATACATAATAAAAGAAAGTAACAATAAAGTTCATCATAGATTCTTCCGAATTTCTTTCTTACGAGAAAAAGAGCTTCTAATTTAATCTTCTTCTTGTAACTACCGAAGGTGAAAGGTGTAAGCGAAATGGACACAAGCACATTTTCTAATTTACGTATACTTATCCTGTAGTCATCAAAACGAACATCGTAATTTCACTGTGGCATCATGGCATTCATTACTTAAATGGGAAGGGGAAAAAATGCTTAAAAGTTTCAGATTTCAACAGTCGCTCAAAAGGATTAAAAGTATTTTTATGCTCGTACTGAGCTCGCTGTCTACTAGTATGGCCCTTGCACTCACTCCTGCTAATCCCCCCCCCTTTTTTTTTTTTTTTTTTTTTGTCTTTTTAGCTTTATTATTAAGCATATTTTTTCCTCACTTACTCCACATACAGGTCAACAGCAAAGTCACAAAATGTTTAAAAACTGCTTAGCAGTATATGTTTAGAATTTCCGATGCAGTGTTAAGTTTTTAGCATTTTTCAGTATTTTCTTGATTCATCATGTCAGTGTTCAGTTTACTCAGTATGAAACCTAAGAAAAATATTCTTCTGTCTTTTCATTATTAATTTTTTAATCTGCTAAGTTTATTTAATAAATATCACATTCTTCGCACTCACGCTACATGAAGTTCAATTTCACAGCAAAATTCCAAAATATTTAAAAACAGTATATCTTTAGAATTCCCAATATAGTGTAAGTGGTTGTCATATCTATTTTTGTATTTATTATATTATTTCTTTAATAACTAGCCGCTCCCTTGGCCAGCCGCCTAAAGTAGTTATCATGAAAAAAGAAAAAGTATCAAATTATTTTATTGAGGCTAGCTAATATAATTTTATAAAAATATTGAATATTTCTAATTAGGTATTTTATGATTTAAATCAATCATATTAAAAAATAGAAAAAAATAATCTTAAGAACTATGTTTATTGTTTTAAATCTTTGAGATTATTAGTCAGTAACCTTCCAGATAAATTTGAACGTATCTTAGGCTTTACTGAATGGCAGAACGCTGACGCATGGAAGATAAAAGTATTTTATTTTCGGCTGAGCAACACATTGCTTTCATACAGGGAGGTTAGAATAGATGGAGTAAGCATGATGTAACAAAATTAAAGCCAAGGAAACGTTAGTAAAGTAATGTCTTGACTTATCTCGGCCGCCATACAGCGTACGGGTACGACTACAAAACATATTGTTATTGTTTTTGTGTTTAGTTAGCTATTTTTAGAAGAATTGAATTTAAAATTGTTTCATTTCCCTGTGCAATGCAGCGCGTGACGAGTTTTAAGAGAAAGCTACTCCGAAAGAGTAAAACTACAGGAGCACGCGCATTCAATAAATAGATATCTCGTAATTGCTTTTGCTTTCGAGAAATTGCTAAGAGCTTCTCGTGACTGATTAAAAAGCTTATAAAAGCCGGAGAAAAACATCTCAATTCAGTTGTTTATTGAGTTTTTGTTGTTGATTGTAGCGAATTCGCGGTGAGATTGGGTTAGCTTTCTCTGCGCTTGAATTGTGTTCTATTTAACGTTTTAGTAGTTTAAAATATAACTACTGTGCGATATTGTAATATTGTACAAATATCAGCGAGGAAAAATTTCAGCATTTTGTTTTATTTCTTGTGAAAAAAAAATAAATATTGTTAACTTTTCATCAAACTCGCGCATTGAATCTATTACGAACCCTTACGCACGCAACACTTTTTGGTGCCAGAAGTGGAATTTGAATGCGAATAATAAGAGCGATTGCAGAGCAGTTGAGACAGCTGATAGCAGCCTTCGCTGCATTTAGAGAAGAAACGTAGGCGGGTCAAGATCCCGTTAAAGCAGAGATGAAAGTGTGTCAAGAATATGTTAAAAAAGAAATGAAAGCCGCTCAAGCAAATATTGAAGCAGGTCAAGAGGAAATTAAAAAAGAAATTACTTGCATAAGAGAAAACAAATCTGAGGCTATGGAAGGCCAAATAGACGCGGTTGAAAATAAAATTGGACAAAGAGTTTCTTCTGTAAAAGAACAGATAGAAGAAATAGTATCTGCTGTGGAGCAATGAATAGAAGAAAGAATTTCTGCCGTTGAACAACTAATTAATGCTGCCGTGGTTTCTGCTGCCATCGCCAAAGGAGTTGACACCTTAAAGAAGTGCATAGCGACAGCAGAACACAATTCTGAAGAATTAAAATTTCTATCCATACCGGCTTGTCCTTCTCTAAAGCTCTCTTGGCAAGTGTATAAGACACAATTTTCTATAGTGGCGGAAGCGCATGGATGGGATCCCCGAGCTAAGGCCTATTATTTCGCCGCTTCTCTGAGAGCAGACGCTGCGAATATCCTTCAAACTCTTTCTGAAAACAAAAGCCTGGATTTCAAAGCATTGTCCGGCGCGCTGGAGGTGCGCTTTGGGGAGAAATATTTAAAAGTAGCTTTAATTGAAATCCCGTCAACAGAAGCCTACCGAAACACTCAAGGAGTTCGCCACAGATGTTGAAAGGCTATCTCATTCTCCTTTTCGGGGTGTACGACAGAAACAAATCCTGTCCCTGCAATCCATCATCGACGGCATTCGGGATCCTGAAATACAGAAAGCTCTGCGCATGGCGAATCTCAAAGTTTTGAAAATCGCCATAGTGTACGCCATTAAATTCGAGACAGCTCAGCAAGCCTCTCGTAGAGATAGCCACCCAATCAGAGCTGCAGTCCAAAAGCCAGAGGATCAAATGGCTGCTCGTCTAGACAATTTAAATAGACTGCTGAATGCCTTGAGACGGAATATTGGTGACAAGAACCCGACCGTAAAATGCTGAAATTGCGGTGCTGAAGGGCACATACGAGGTAACTGCAGAACATCCCAGGACACGAATTTTAAGACCGCGCCTATCAAGAAGGACGGAGGATAATGAAAAGCCCCAATTTAAAGCGCTTCAGATTTCTGCAGTGAGTGGCGGCAGTAATGAACTTTTCATCATGGGACATATCAGTGGATTTCCTTGTAATATAACCATCGATACAGGAGCCAATGTTACCATCATTTGAAAAGATGTGGCTCAACAACTGAAAAGCAAACTCATTTGGACGCCTCCCTGCATTACCTTCCAGACTATGTCAGGCGAGAAGATCGACATCGACGGAAAAGTAAACGTTAACATCACGTTTGGAAGTGCCGCCTACCATCACATGCCATATGTGGCCAGATTACAGACCCTTGCATACTTCGATTGGACTTTCTAAGGAAATACAATTTTTCCTTGGACTTTAAAAATAACGAATTGCATTCCGTCTCTGATAACATAGCCCTATTCGGAATTAATGATAAACGAATAAAATATATCCGCAGAATTATAACTCAAGACGATATCACAATACCCGCAAGAATATAGTTTTTACTTCTTGGATCCATAGCCGAAAACAGAAGTTTCCGCTACGACATCATAAAATATCCCAAGAACTGTAACAGTGCAAAAGGTATGCTAGTAGCCTCAGCGCCGGTCGATGTTAGCATAAATTAGGTATTTTTGCATAATGAAACTCAAAAGCGTAGAAAACGAACGTGCGTCAAGATATATATTGTACAGAGAATGCGAAAGTGTGTACATTCGATTCTTCGCTTTGCTATTTGTACCTGGGCCAAAGGAATAATTCAATTAGTACTTTCTTTCAGGTGCTGTGTCAAAGTGTGCTGCTGTTTCTTTTTATTGCATAAATAGGTAAAACTGATGATGATTCTACGTAAGTTATTCTTTCAATACTTAAATTTTTAATGTCTGTGAAGATTGTTCATTTAATTGGTGTTTTACTTAAGTTAAGCATAATTCTCTTACTTGTTAAATAAAGATTTCGTACTTATTTTGACTTAGGATTCCTTGATTAAAACTCCGCTAAATAGAGGAAACGTACTCATGCACAATGCAACAGTCGACCTAACGCGAACCATTATCCCGGTGAGAGTTGCCAACGTAACTGAAAAAGCGAGAGTTATTAAGAAAGGTAAAGTGGTTGCAGCATGTACTCGAGTAAACAAGCGTTAAACGAAATATTAACACTCCAGAACACGTGTCTTCAGAAAGCATTACATCGGAGTTATTGCAGAATGCGCAATTAAACGATGAAGAGATGAATGCTTCCGAAAGTGTCATTCAAGATTTTCAATAGGTTTTCTCCCTTTCGTCTTCTGACGTGGGTCGAACCAGTTTGACACAACATAGAATCGATACCGGCGATCATTCCCCAATAAAGCAACATCCAAGACGTCTACCGATTGCTAAACAGGAAGAGGTACGAACACTTTTAAAAGATATGGAAGAAGGCGATGTCATCGAGCCTTCAGCAAGTCCATGCGCATCTCCTATCGTTCTTGTCAGAAAGAAAAACGGCTCAACAAGATTTTGCGCTGACTATCGCCGGCTGAATGAGGTTACGAAGAAAGACAGTTACCCTTTTCCTAGAATTGACATTTCAAAACTTGATCTAAAGCGTGGGTATTGGCAGGTAAAAATACATCTTGATGACAAAAGACGGCATTTACTACGGGACAAGGACTTTGGCAGTTCAAAGTGATGCCGTTTGGACTCCGCAATGCGCCGGCTACATTCAAGCGTCTAATGGAGACTTTTTTGAAAGGTCTTTCCTACGAGGCGTGTCTGATATACCTGGATGATATCATCATCGCCGGAAAGACTTTTGAAGAACATCTAGAAAATCTTAGAAAGGCGCTTCAAACACTAAAGGAAGCCAATCTAAAGTTGAGTCCCGCTAAATGCAAATTCTTCAGACAGAAAGTGACTTACCTGGGTCATGTTATCTCTGCAGGAGGTGTGTGCACGGATCCTGAAAAGGTGTGAGCCGTTAAATCCTGGAGACGTCCCGAAAATGTCCATTAGCTGAGAAGCTTCCTAGG